CAATATTATCCCTGATCTAAAATTAAGTAAAGAACTACATTGAACATTTTCATATATTTTAAGGACTACAATGAACATGTGTTAAATATCTACGGACCACATTGAATAAATTAAAATTTTAAGGACCATATTAAATATTGGACTAAAATTCAGAGATCACATTGATCAATTAAAAATTCAAGGATCACATTGCGTATTTGACCAAAATTGATCACGTATGTAAGAAGACAAGAGAGAAGTAGAATGACCAGAAAGTCAACGGCCCCAATTGATTAGGCTAATCTAGTAAAATCTTATTTGCGAAAATTTATTCATCTTAGAGAAACGAAAGAAAAATAAAATAAAACAGACGCAAGAGAAACAGCCCAAGATGAATGTTGCCACCTATGTTTCAACATAGCTGGATTTCGGGTTTCGGGTTTTTTTTCCCCTTCTCACATGCATTATCACCTTCTAAGGAAAGACTTATAATGCTTAACTGATACCAAGAAACTTTTCGAGAAATCGGAAAATTACCCAACGTTGTTAGGTTAACAAGCAATATGTGCACAAAGAAAACCGTAACTGATAACTTGGTCGGACCTTATATATTGAAAAATAGTGTGTAGAAACTTGTTAATTAGTGGCCCTTGGTTTTGATTTTTTAAAGCAAAAAAAAAAACTAACATTAACTTTTATACTGAAAATTAAGATATCTAAGTTTATGAGGAATTATGAATAACCCTATATTTCAGAATTTGTAAATTTAAAAATATATCTAGAATTTGACGTTTAGGAAAAGTTGCGTTGCGATAATTGCAATTTTTTTAATAAGTTATAACCGAATGCTAGAAGACCATTCTTAAATAGATCTTTGAATTTTTCCCCGAATAGACCTTAATTTGTTTTAGATTTGTCAGTTTCTATTAGAGTTTGAGGCACCAAAAAAATCACTAAATTAGCTTACTTGTCAAATAATTCCAAACCTAATATGAGGCACAACACCTAAATCCTAATCTAATTAACCAAATCCTAGACCTCATCACAAGGGCATTCTCTAGGAAAAAAACATAGCATAGACTCATTGCACGTACGAAAAATTATTATGTAGCACGAGTATATCGAAATAATTTCTCAGGACCTCTCGATCCGCTCGGGTTGGTACACAGGACCAAAGGTTAAAAATAGCTAGCTTTGCCGACACTTGTTCAATACTTTTCAATTTGGTGATTTCTTTTAACCAAAAATAGGAGTTCCCAAACTGGAGGCGACGGCCCAAAAGAAATTAAAAGCTTTCTTCTTTTGGGCTAGTCCTCAGACCTTGATAATGCCTGGGCATATGTGGTACATGTTAGTCCCTTCTCTTGGCAACTTGGTCTGTTATTTGTTGAAAATTGATGCTACTAGGGTAGGGTGTGCTTTCTCGCGATATTAATTATAATAGTTTAGAACTGTTGTGGCATTAATGGCTGATTTTCTTTCGGTTATTGGCATTGATCTTCTTACCTAGTAGCAATAGGTCACAGGCAGGATTAGTTTTTTTGCTTATGTTTTTTAGTTTAATTTTATCAGCTTGTTGGCAGTTTCTTTTTCACTTCAAGCCATTGTCATTGGCGATGGTCATAGCAATGTGCAATTTTCTATTGTATTGAGGAATGAGCAACGTATTTTCATGGTCATTTAGGGTGTTTCACTGGTCCGTGCGCATTGCTGCCATGCTCATTTGTGAGGAGGGAAGAATGTGTATACACTTCCCTGAGAATGTCAGAAACATCACCAACCAACCAACCCCCCAAAAAACCCGAAAACCCGACCCATACCAACCAGATGCGGGTCAGGTTGGGTCAGACAAAGCAGGCATCCTTATGATTTTGGGTCAGGTCAAGTAGAGTTGAAACCCGACCCATTGACACCCCTAGAATGCATAGGAAGTCATACACCTAGCGTACAGAATTCAATCAAATCTTAAACCTTTCAACTAGTCAGATAAATCCTAAACTTTTCTTCGAAAGTGCATGGCTAGACCCGTTAATTGAATGAGTTGTGCTAGGCAAGGGATCAAGCATGTCGGGCAATGTGGTGCCTGGCTGGCACGGCCCAATAGCCGCCGCTAGACGAGAGCATAAGTCCCAAAAACAAAAAATTCTCTCCCAGCCGTATCCCCAGTAATATATTTATTCAACACGGATTCTCTATAGCTCCGAAGCCTTTTATGTTTAAGGATAAGAATCCGGCAAATGGAGTGAAGCTATCAAGAGGGGGAAATTTCCATTTTCGGTATTCATGTTTCTAATTGATTCATATTATTTTGCATTTTCGAAATGTTGTATGTACTTAAGCTATGGTTCAATAACCCTACACGATAAGCTTCGAAACTACTTGAAATAAAACTTTATGTAAACTCTAGCGGAGAATTTCATTCATGGAAATTTTCATTTTGTTATGATTTTATGCAAGTAAATTTGTGCAAAAATTCACGTTTATAATAACGTTTAAAATAATAAAATTCATACAATGTTAGACTCGTGCGCGACGCACGGGCATTTTGCTAGTTACCGTAAAAGAAAGGTTATTCATTAATTAGTTGTGGGGTTTGGATAAGGTCCTCCAATCTAGATGCGGGCCAAAGGTTTGGAACGTTGAAATTATTCACAATGTAAGCAAAGATCGGTATGCATGCGGTGTTAGGCGAACCGCCTAACTTGTGGCCCAACATAGCAAGGGGCCAAGAGAAACCGAAGTATAAAACTTCAAGTGATCGACATTTCCTTGCCGTTGGAGCTTGAAGCAACTCACAATAGTGATTGTAACTGTGTGCATGAGAGATGGATTTGATGGCGTTGATACTTTGTGCATATCTCGCATGGGGTTTAATCCAAGCCCTTCGCTTCATCACAAAGAAGGCCAAACCAGGCCCCTTCAATGATAATCTCCCTTCCGGCCCGCCGCCTCTTCCGCTGATCGGCAACCTCCTTGAGCTCGGCAACCACCCACACAAGTCCCTCGCCAAGCTCGCCCGCACTTATGGCCCCATCCTTAGGCTCCAGCTCAGGTTCCTGACCACAATCGTCATTTCCTCATCCACGCTCGCCCGAGAGATCTTCCAAACCCACGACCCGTTGTTTTACAATGGCACTATCCCGGACAATGTCACTCCCTACCGTCAAGATGAGCTCGGGATGCCGTGGATGCCCGTCTCGCCGCTGTGGAGGAACCTCAGGAGAATATGCAACCAGCACATATTCGCCAACAAGAAGCTCGACTCGACTCAATGCTTGCGCCGCAAGGCAGTGCAAGAACTTGTTGCACACGTCGAGAAGTGTGCTCAGACCGGTGACGCTGTGGACATTAGCGCAGCGGCATTTCAGACAAGTCTGAGTTTCCTGTCCACCACCATCTTTTCCTCGGACTTGGCCGACCTTTCTTCGGTTTCCGTTAAAGAGTCAAAGGAGATTGTTGGGCACATCCTGTACGAGGCCGGAAAGCCAAACGTCGCCGACTTTTCCCGGTGCCAAAGAAGATTGACCCACAAGGCTCGAGACATCGGATGGAGGTGTATCACGGGCAAATGTTCGATCTATTCGACAAAGCGATACAAAAAAGGTTGCAGCTGAGGGCGACACCGAGTTCCCCGAGGATGAACGATGTTTTGGATACACTTCTTGATATAAGGGAAGATAACAATGAGAACATGGACATCTTGCTAATGAAGCACTTGTTCGTGGTATGTTTATGCACTCTTTAGCAACTTCTGAATTTTGGTTGGCTTAATTCTTATCCATGTTTCATATTTGATACTCAACAAGGCCATTTCCAACTTCCATTTATTGGACGAGCACAACAGGATTTATTCGTCGCAGGCACCAACACAACTTCGAGCACGTTGGAGTGGGCAATGGCGGAGCTACTCCATAGCCCGGCAAAGCTATCGAAAGCCCAGGCGGAGCTCGATCAAGTCATCGGCAGAGGCAACCCCATCGCCGAGTCTGATGTTGTTCGCTTACCCTACTTACAAGCCATCATCAAGGAAACCTTCCGATTGCACCCGCCAGTTCCACTCCTCCTCCCTCGGAAATCTGAGGCGGAGCCTCAAATCCAAGGCTTCACCATCCCGAAGGGCACACGAATTTTCGTCAACGTGTGGGCGATGGGGAGAGATACTGCCCTGTGGGAGGACCCAAACGTGTTCTAACCGGAACGGTTTTTGAGGTCGGAAATGAACGGGAAGGGACAAAGTTTCTAGCTGATTCCGTTTGGCGGAGGTCGGCAAATATGTCCGGGCTTGCCATTGGCCTTGACGATGTTGGATATGATGTTGGGTACGCTCCTTAATAGCTTCAATTGGAAGCTTGAAGCTGGGATTGAACCGGAAGACATGAACATGGACGACAAGTCTGGCATCGCCATACGAAAGGATCAGCCTCTGAGAGCTGTGCCAACGTTGGTGTAGGCAATGAGGAAAGTGTTCTCAATAAACGTCTATGCCAACCAAAAAATTAAAGGCTGTGTTTTTCTCCACTCTTGGAGTGTAAATATATAGATGTCACTTGTATTTATTTTAATGAATTTTATATAGTAAATGATGTCTGTACTTAATCTATCACTCGCCAATCAGAGATTTGATTGGGAAAAGATTATATAATAAGGTCCTAAATAAATTTCTTAAAGAATTTTTCCCTTCACGGGTGAGAAGTGTAGTTGTCCAACTACTACGTCACGCTGAGCCATAATCTCTTTGGCTTAAAAACAGATGGTGGTCTTGAGAAGATACATTATACCACACCTAATCACGCGGCATGTGATGTGGTATTAGCTATGGATGAAGTAAGTTTGACTGTTTGGTATAATCTTTTTAACGAACATCGGAATCTCGCACAATTGAATCGTTGAAACTACTATACATCTCTGAATTACATTTCATAAATTATATACGAGTAATTATTAGTAATTACATTACTAATTTTCCATAAGATAATATACTATTATTCAAGCAATGCATTACATCATATACTTGTAGAATGGAGAAGCCACCAACTTTCTCGTATATAGATTGCTCAAGTCCTCAACAACCAGCATATATAACTCGACTATATAATTTTACCTTCGAAGCTCTCAGCCGTGAGAGAGACACAGAGATGGATCTTTTAGTGTTGATACTGTGTGCTTACCTCGCTTGGGGTCTTGTCCAAGCTCTTCGTTTCATCACCAGGAAGACCAAACCAAGTCCCTCCAATCTCCCGCCCGGCCCGCCACCTCTCCCGGTGATTGGTAACCTCCTCGAGCTCGGAAACCTCCCTCACCAGTCTCTTGCCAAGCTCGCCCGCACTTACGGTCCCATCATTAAGCTCCAACTAGGGGCCGTAACCACCGTAGTCATTTCATCACCCACGTTGTCCAAAGAAATCCTCCAGACTCGCGACATTTCGTTTGCCGACCGCATGATTCCCGATGCCATCAACGCCTTTAATCAAGGCCAGCGCAGCTTGCCGTGGGTCCCTGTCTCGCCTCTATGGCGGAACCTGAGGCGGATATTCAATCAACACCTATTCTCCAACTTGAAGCTCGACTCCACTCAACACTTGCGCCGCAAGAAAGTCCAAGAACTCCTAGCCCATGCAGAGAGAAGCGCCCGAGCCGGGGATGAAGTGGAAATCGGCGAAGCGGCTTTCACGACGTCCATAAACTTTTTGGCCACCGCCGTGTTCTCTTTGGATTTGGTGGACCGTTCTTCGGGTTCAGCGAAAGAGTTCAAGCAGACCGTTTGGCAAATCATGGTCGAGGCTGGGAAGCCTAACGTGGTGGATTTCTTCCCGGTGCTCAGGAAGATCGACCCGCAAGGTACGAGGCGTCGAATGACGAGGCACTTTGGGAAGATGTTCAACTTGTTCGATCGATTGATCGAGGAGCGGTTGCGGCTGAGGGAAACGCCCGGTTCGCCCAGGATGAATGATGTGCTAGACACACTTATTGACATATGTGAGGATAAGGAGGAGGACATGGACATGTCCCAACTCAAGCCTTTGTTACTGGTAGGTGTGCACATGCTCTTCGTCATTGTTGACCGTTTGCTTGGCTCAATCTGTTATCAGAATGCATGGTTGAGATTTGAAACTACCTTTGATTATTATTATGAGAATTTGCAGTTTCGACATTAAAAAAGACCGTGAGAGAATGAAAAGGTGAAAAATAAAAAGTAAAAGGTCATCCAAGCGCTATTTGACTAATTCCTTTCAAACCGCAATTCATTTCACGAAATGCAGGATGTGTTTGTCGCCGGAGCCGATACTACGTCAAGCTCGGTGGAATGGGCGATGGCCGAGCTACTCCACCGTCCCGAGAAGCTATCGAAAGCCCAGGCCGAGCTCCATCAAGTCATCGGCAAAGGCAACCTTGTCGACGAATCCGACGCCGCCCGCTTACCATACTTACAAGCCATCGTCAAGGAGACTTTCCGGATGCACCCGGCAGTGCCGCTCCTTCTCCCCCGGAAATCCGGGGCGGACCTGGAGGTCGGGGGCTACACCATCCCCGAGGGCACGCAAGTCTTTGTCAATGTGTGGGCCATAGGCCGAGATCCGACCCTATGGGAGGACCCGGACGTGTTCTCGCCGGAGAGGTTTTTGGGGTCCGATATGGATGTGAAGGGGCATAGCTTCGAGCTAACCCCGTTTGGTGGAGGGAGGCGCATATGTATAGGCTTGCCTTTGGCCCTGAGGACGTTGCACGTGATGTTGGGCTCGCTCCTGAATTGCTTCGACTGGAGGCTTGCAGATGGGGCTTTGCCTGAAGATATGAGCATGGAGGAGAAGTTTGGCATCACCTTAGCCAAGGCTCAACCTTTGAAAGCCGTGCCCGTGCCGCTCCGATGAACCGTTCGTGTCTCCCAATAACAACTTATTGTTCGTATCGTAACTATGATTTCGCCGTTCATGTAATTATGGTAGTCGATAATCTGATGCAGTTCTTGTATCAGGTCTTCCTGGTGCAAAAGTTTAAATGGATTGTCCAAGTGCAGTAGCTTTCGCATTGAATAGATCCGATCTATCTCTTGCCTTGAAGCGAGACGGATAAAGTATGATTTTTTAAGAGATTCTGATCGTTTCAGTCCTCAAAATATTCCAATCTCAACTTCTGGTGTCAACTTCTTCTTCTTCTTCGCGAAATTAACACTTATTTCTAGAAGTCCTCAAAAGTTTGGCGTTATTATAATATAATCGTAAGATGGTGTTAGCATAATTCTATATTGTTTATGAAATAATTAAGAATAGCTTACATATCATATATGTCTAAATAAATTGCAAGATTTTAAAAGAAATATCTTATCTAATTACTGGATTTTGTCACTAATTTATGCTATTAAGTGAGAATTCATAACAATAGCCGCCAAAATGTATGACACGCTACAAAATACATGAAAAAAGTGCCCCGACTCTGTGTTTGTGGATGGAATCCCTCTAGAAGGGTTAGAATGGCAGTTCCCTATCCTCGGGAGTTACAGGCTAGGAAGCACGGACACTCTCCGGGGGCATCCGTGTCGTGTCTAACACATGTCGGACGTGTCGGACACCGACACTCGTCCGACACTCTTTTTTTTATTATTTATTTATTTGTGGATTAGAATCAAATTAATTTAATTACAATAATCATAAAAATGATAATTTATCATGTATATATAAAAAATATACATTTAATATACAACGTGTCATAACGTGTCGGAATTCTCATTTTTTGAGAAATGATGTGTCGGCGTATTGTGTCGTGTCGCATGTCGCGTGTTGCGTGTCGCGTGTCGATGTCGGTTCTACTTAGGTTACAGGTTGAGAAAAAGAAAGAAAATAATATCAAGGATATAGGATTCCAACAAATGTAAGGTTTCGACCAAAAAAAAATATATGTAAGGTTTATGAGTCATGTCATCCAGAGTTGGTCCAGTCCTCGATCTTACATATATTGGAATCCTATATATTGGACCCATAGGGTTGGTCTCCAATCCTAAAATTTGCGGACTAACACTGTGCGGGTTGGTCATTGGGTTGAGTGTTGAACCGGCCCAACCAAGACCATGCTCACCCCTACACCAATTTGATGATGGCCTTAAAAATATATTTATCGAAACCCATCATGCCTAATAAGTGATAACATATCGTCCTAAAATCTTTTAGGATAATTTCCTCTATTTGAATTTAAAATTCTTTCCTCAATTTGAGGATACTTTCCTTGATTTTAGGAATCAATTTTGCCCTCATCATATAACTATGTATCTATTTAAATGTATTATGTACATCAATAGAAGAACAAGGAAAATCAAAAAAATTCAAAGCTTCTTTTACTTTTATTATGGTATCAGAGCATTCAACGTAATAGTATTATTTGTGATCCTGCTTCTTCTTCTTCATGGCTGCCTCCAACAATTCTGAAGCTACTAGCGCTATCAATACCCCAGTTCAGTCCCTACCTATTGTGATTTCAAACATTTCTAGCCTTGTCCCAATCAAACTGAATGCCTCCAATTATCTCCTTTGGAAATCCTTGTTCACGCCTATTTTGCGTGGTCATCGCCTGATGCATCACATTGATGGCTCTGTCCCTCCACCTTCATCAGATGATCCCACATATCCAACTTGGTTTGAAAAAGACTAGCTGATGTTATCATGGATCAATACCACATTAAGCAACTCTGCTCTTCCATATATCATCGGACTTACTTCTACCAAGCAAGCATAGGATCTGCTCAATAAAAAATATGCCTCTACAGCACTTGCCCATGTGATATCCCTCAAACGATTGCTTACTCGACTCAAGAAGGGCACTCAATCTCCAGCAATTTAAGATCATTTTTGACCAGCTGGCAACCTGTGTAACATCCCGAATTTCGACCCGTTCCCGGAACCAATAAAGTGTATATTAATTCTCGTTTAATTTTAGTAAGTCTCGCCCAGAGCTGATCACTCATGGGATACTAACCCAATGGGAATGGCTAAATAGGAAAAACGGTACGTGGACCGGGGATCCAATCGCGAAATTGGACCCGAACTTCGATGTCGAAATTTCGAAGGTGTTTACGACTATTTTGTAAGGCCGACGTCATTTTAGTGTGGCCACATATGTTTGGGGCTAGTACGGCTGAAAATTGGAATTTCGGCAGAAATTGGAAAAATTTACAATTTTGCCCCTGGAGACTTCGGCAGCCGTTTTTTAGGCCAAATGAGATTATTTTTCGAGGCCGATGCCATTTTGGGGTAGCCACGCATATTTGGAGTGCGTACGGTCAAAAAATGGAATTTCGATCCCGGGGTGAAAAATTACGGTTTTACCCCTCGAAACTTTCGGGCTGATTTTCGAGGGCTTAAAGCATGATTTTTATGAATCCGACGCCATATTATGCTGGCCACGCATATATAGGACTGATATGGACAAAAATTGAAATTTTGACCCGGGATCGGAAAATTACCAAAATACCCTTGGACCCATTTTTGGTAATTCCGAATTTTGGTTATTTTTGGGACTTAACTAAGGTTAATTGGGTCAACTATGGTCTGGTCAGCCAATAATTGAGGGCAAATGACCATTTTGTCCATACATTATTGGATTAGGGTGAATCTTAGCCATTGGATGAGGGGCAATTTGGTCCAACCCCTTGGATCTTTGACATGTGTCCTCCACTAAGCCAACTTTGACCAATATTTGACCCTCTTCTCTCTCTTCTTCCCCTCACTCGGCCAAGCTTCCCCGTTCACTCACCCCTTGGACGCCGTTTCCTCCTCCTCCGTTTCCCTCTCGTCGCCGCCGTGAAGACCAGCCACGCCGGAGCTCGTCGTCGCCGGCCGGGACCGGAACAGTGTCGCCGACTCGCCTCACCGTCCTCACCATCATCACCGCTTCACCTTTTTCCCATTTTCCTTTGTCTTCACTTCCATTTTCCCTTTCTCGGCCCTTCAAGCCGGATCACCGCCGGAGCTCCACCGCCGCCGCGCCGGAGCCCATCCAGTCGAGCTGCTGCCGCTGTGGCGCCACGCCATCATCCTCACCCCCATACGACCACTTTCTCTCCCTCTTCTCCCTCATCTCGCCGTCGATCGGTGCCAAGACCGAGGGGACCGCCGGGCCCTCGCCGCCGCCGCCGAGCGCTACCGGCCGCTGTTCAAGCCAGCCACCGCCGTTCCCTTCGTCGTGCCACCGTCCCCGACGTCCCTAGCCCTCAGCCCGAGATTGCCGCCGCCTCCCCTGTCTCGGCCGTGAGTGGCCGTGAGTCCACCGGCGCCGCCGTGAGCCGCCGGCTTGTTCCCCGGAACGCCGCCGTCGATTTTACCGCATGTCGGTAATTGGCCACCCGTTCCCGTCGACCGAGTCGAATTTAGGCGAGTATAAATCCCTAAACCCCGAATTAGTTTAATTGTGCATTTATGGGTAAATTAGGGGTTAATTAGGCTTGATTATGGTTTAGTTATGTGTAATTGTGTGTTGGAAGATTAGGGGATGTAATTAGAGCCTAATGGAGTGATTTAGGCGTGGTTTAGTGTCAAAAATGGGTGCTGCCCTAGTACTGTTCACACAGAACCGAAAATGCACTAAATTGCCTAAGTTGAGAATTAAATGGGTTTGTGAGTAATGGCTTGAATTTAGGCAATTTAGTGACTAATAAAGACTTGTTCAAATCCTATTGGGTGACGCCATGTTTGTGACAATGACGACTGAGATTGGTTCGTCCATGGCGGGCCGTAGGCGCCGTGAATTGCATTGAAATGAATGCGTGGAATAAGTGCCGGGTTTAAGTGGACTAAAATGGAATGAATTGTACGTGCCGATAATGCGTTGAATTCGTTGAATTTATGAATAATTGTACTTGGCATATTGGCATTGATAATTGGCTTGGATTCCATTTCTCGTGATTTCGTTATTAGTGTTTCAATATGGTTGAAATTGCGAGTGCTAAACGATGCACGTACCTGATGTGACTAAGTTGTTGACTTTCGGGTCGGGCCTTTGGGTCGTTTTAAATTGTGGCCTTCGGGTCGGGCCTTTGGGTCGGAATAAATTGTGGCCTTCGGGTCGGGCCTACGGGTCGATTTATTGCTGAAAGTGGCCTTCGGGTCGTGGCCTTCGGGTCGGTATATCTGTGGCCTTCGGGTCGGAATAATTGTGCATATTTGATAATTCACACGTAATTATTGTGGATAAATGCCAAACCTGCAGGGCTGTGATACGAATGATTTGGGCCGTGGGCCTATGAATTTATTGTGAATTGATGGTACACTGTATATGTGTGTTTTAATTGCCTGTCAGGAGGTGCATATTAGCCTAGTTTAGGTTTAGGGGTTATTTACTTGCTGAGATTCGTCTCACGGTTGTTGGAAACCGACTTTTCAGATCCCCGGCAGTGAGGATGGCAGAGGCGTCAATCTGTTTTGGGATTCCCCAGTTCATCGAGAAGACTATGTCTATGCATGTCGCACATTTTTTACCAAGCCCCGCCTTAGTTTAGTATCCCCTGGCCACCATCTTTTTTGTTCAATGTCCGTTGCCCAGTTTGTCTTCTAGTTGCTTTTCTTGTTATTTATATTGTATAAATTTCTGCAGTAATGTAAAATATTTTTATTCCTGCTAAATTCCAGTGCTGTGCTATCCTTGGTTGTCTTATTTATTATACGTGTATATAATATATATATATATATATATTGCTTCCGCATGTGCATTGATCTATGTGCGTTGGATGCTAGGTCGGTGACGTAACCTGGGGACGTCGCACCATTACGACCTTAAGTGAGATGATCGCGCTTCGTGGGGTACGGGGCGTGACAACCTGTGGCTCTCCCCTAAGCGAGGACGATTTGCTTATTCACATCCTCGATGGGCTACCACCATCATATTGACAATTCTGTTCCTCAGTTCGTATTCGCGCCAGGACATCGACCCTATCTATTGAAGAACTTCATACATTGTTAATCTGTGAGGATCTTTCTTTGACTGAAGATACACCGCCTGCGGTTTTAGCTCAGTCTACTACATTATGGCTTCCAAACCTTTCAGGCCCAACAACTCTCGTCAATTCTCTCGGGGTCGCGGCCATGTACCATCTCGTGGAACATTT